GGAACTAGATGATCTTGAAGGTTCCTTCCAACCTAACCCATTCTATGATTCCATGGTATGCAGGCAGGTTTTATTTATATCAGGTACTAAAAGGCTCAGTACAGTGGCCTCAAAAATAAAGAATGCTGGGCATGGGTTTGCACCCAGGACGTGGCTTGACGTGTTGATTGAGGTCTGGTTGGTTGAGTTCACCGGTGAGCTCGTGGGTGCCAGCTGGTGCACATCTGGCCATGTCCTCCAGCTGTTGTCTTTCTACAGGCAAGACTCTTGTGTTGTCCTGGGGCAGGAAAGGCAGCAGGAAGGACAGGCATGCGATGAATTATTCAAAAAGAGCTTCCATGTATCGTTGGCTGCTCAGGATTGACCCAGCCAGATGATTCTTCACGCTGATCTGGGCAGTGAAAAACCAGTTGGTGCTTATTTTAGAGTGAAGCTGCTTTCCAACGTGTTGAAAGCTCCGTGTTTCTGTTCGGAGCCAGCACCACTGTGCTGTGTCTCTGCTCTGCAGGGAGGAAGCAACTGCATTGGCTTTTCCAGAGTCCTCCTCACTATGTGCATCAGACAGAAGGCAGCAAAGCTGCCGTGGCATTACGGAAAATGTTATAATCTAGTTTATTTTTCTACCTTTGCTAGTATATAAAATGCCTTAAAAAATAAGCCAGCTTTTGCTGCGTCTGTGTCTCCTGTTGGGGGTGCACGTAAGCATGGAGAGGTCCTCTCCAGACCTTGCTGTAGGGGATGTTGGACCTTGCTCTCCTGCTGCTTTGCAAGCGAACCGCTGCACAGCTTCCTGGCTGGATGTGACACCCCTTCTCCCTCGCAACTCCATTTTCCTGTTTTCTTACCTTTTCTACCCATTCCGGTTCTACCCACCCCAAATCAAGCTGTTTGTTTAATTGAGCAGAGTTTTTGTCTTTCTCCAGTTGAGACTGTGCTAAGAAAGCTCACAGATGTGAACAGGCGGGGAACTCCACATCCTCTCCTTTCTCTCTTCCCCACATTTTGCTCCTGCAGCCCCAGTTGCCTGTCGGGATTTTCAGTGGGAGGATGAAGAAGGGACCTGGGTACTCCGATGAGGTGTGCAGATAGCAGTGGGTTGGGTCCATTTGGGATGCAGACTTTGACTGGTCAAATCCTTGTGCCAGGCGGGAGATATTTGGTGGAAGGATTGGTTATGTCTTCCCTGTCCCATCCCCTCTTGCCAAGGTGGGAATCCAGGTTCATTAGAGGGTGGCTGGTGGCAGCTGCCCCTGTCCCCCACCCCCTGGCCGAGAGCAGGGTGAGTGATGCTGAACCAGGCAGAGGTGCCCAAACCAGTGCCCAAACCAGGACCAAACTAGGTCTGGGACAAGAAAGTCCTTTCCCGCCCTGAGCAGATCATTCGCTTCCTAACCCAGAGCCTGCCCTTTAGGTTGGAGGGGTCCCATGAAAGGGGCTGTGTCCTATATAACTTGGACCAAAAGGTCTGTTGCTGGAGCACCTCTCCTATGAAGACAGGCTGAGAGAGTTGGGGCTGTTCAGCCTCGAGAAGAAAAGGCTCTGGGGACACCTTCCAGCAGCTTTCCAATACCTAAAGGGGCCTACAAGAAAGCTGGAGAGGGACTTTTGGCAAGGGCATGTAGTGATACGACAGGGGGCAATGGCTTTAAACTGAAACAGGGGAGATTTAGATTAGATCTAATGAAGAAATTCTTCCCTCTGAGGGAAGGGAACAACTGGAACAGGTTGTCCAGAGAGGTTCTGGCTGCCCCATCCCTGGAAGTGTTCAAGGCCAGGCTGGGTGGGGCTTTGAGCAACCTGGTGTAGTGGAAGGTGTCCTTACCCATGGCAGGGAGGTTGAAGCTAGATGATTTTTAAGGTCCCTTCCAACCCAAACCATTCTATGATTCTATGAAATATTAAAGCCCCGTTTGGAGTAGGAGGACTGTCCACCTGCAAATTATAGTTAAGATACCTCTCCCCACCCTTCCCATCTCTATAGGAGGGGGAACACAAGATGTCCCGATGACCTGATGTGCATCCAGATTTTTCCCCAAAGCTGCCAGATCGAAGAAGTCGTGCTGGGGAGGTGTGTCTCCCCATAGCTCCTTGTTCCTTCGCCACCAGAGGGAGATGCTGCTCAAGGCCACAAAAGTGGAAGCCTTGTTCCAGACTCTGCGAGCCCACCCAGCGCCCGGGTTATGGGAGGAGAGGGATGTGCAAGACTGGTGCTGCTGTGGCATCGTAAATGGGAGCGACATGGGGGGCTCTGGGATGCTGGAGGTGGCCGATATGGTGCACAGCAAGTGCCTGGAGGAATGTGACCATGGTTGCAGGAGGTTCCGTCTGCTTCCCCAGGCATCACCATGCTGTGGGGAAAGTTGGGAAGCCCCTGCCGGGGTCTCACCAAGGTAGTATTCAGAGACAAGAAGGGTAACATCCATTTGCAAATATCCCATGGTGACTTCAGGTCCAAAAATGCGTGCACATGGGGAGCTGCCACCGACCGCGTTGGATGCGGCATGAGAACCTGCTGGTTTGGTAGAACCGGCTCCAGCTGTTGCCACTATGGTGCTGAGTTCAGACATTTAGCAGTGTGCCCATGGAGCGGTGCACATGCACCTGGGTGAGGGACACAGTCACTCCTTGCTATGGTGGGTCTTCACATCAACCCACAGAGTGCAGAGGTCCCACAAAGCCCAGGTCCTTGCTCTCCATGGAGGAACGTGGTCCCGGGCCAGTCCAAATCCAGACCATGAAGCTGCACGACAAACTACAGCTGTGGAAAAGCATGGCAGAGGGGGGAGGAACCAACTGCTCTGGGGACTGGATGATGTTTCCTCCATGTGTCCCAAATGCTTGAGGACACCCAACCAAACTCTCTGCTACTTCTTCAGCATTTCCCGTGAAGCTCTTTTCAGATGAAATACATTACCTTGAGCTAGACCTTAGGATCTGCCCAGCCTTGGGGGATGCTAATCACTAACGTTTGGGCTTTAGCCACCTGCAGAAGGTCTGGAGTGGAAGATGTCTCCATCCCACCACACTTGGCCAGATCATCCTATGCTCTCACCTACCCTGGGACAGGAGATTTCTGCTCGTTTGCCTCCTATGAGCCTTTTTGGTTGGGTTTGTTTTTTAAGGAAACTTTCTCTGGCACTTTTGAGAGGCGGAGGCTCATGCCCCAGCCCAGGAGAACTCGGTGCCACCGATGAGAAGAGCTCTCGCAGGCTGAGAAAGGGCTGCAAGGGAGCGGAGAGCAGGAATCGAGGGTGAATTTTGACAATGCAGGGAGTGACCCGAGAGCTCCCAAGGAGAACTGGTTGTGCTGCTCACCGGTGA